GCTCTGGCGCGGCGGCCGGATGGGGCCAAGTTCCGGCGTGGGCGTGGAGGCCAACTTGGATCGCGCTCCGCGGGCGACCACCGCGCCCGGTCCCTTCGGTCACGATCGATTACTGGGTCCCCAAACTCGCTCTGCACGCCAAACCAGCGGCACTCACACTACCGAATTGTGGATGAGCTCTTTTCTCTTCATGACTTTACGGTGTACCCGTCTGAAAAGAGTGAGTAAATGATGTTTACAGAACGTAAGCCCCCACCCCAGTTTCCTGACTGTTTAGTTTTGCAAGTTGGCAGCGTTGTTCCCAGTTGTTCTCACCCCGGGGAGGTTTTTCTTAAGATGAAACACGAGGAGTGCGACTTTTTCTTTGAGCAATAAAAATAACCACATAGTACTCGGTTGCCTTTTGGATATTTTATTTGAAGTCATCGCAGTCAGAAGCATAGGCCGTGCCGTTTGCAGGCACGAATGTAAAATAAGTGACAGGCGTGTATGAGACTTGCAGACTTTTCCACACACAGATTGATGGCTTGGACGTAACTGTCTTTTCAACCACACCCATCCCCACAGGAAATAAGACTATCAGTGTCATCTTTGATTAGGAAGGATAAGTTACACCCTAAACTACTACTTTGTACGATACAGCTTTAATGAGCTCTAGCCGCAAATAAAACAAAAACTTTCAAATGCCGTAATTTGTGTTTGAAGATGTTACAGTATTACTTTTACACTGATCCTACTTTGCACTTAATGCTGCAGTTCTTATATTTTCAGCGACCATGATTTTGCTTAGATCAAACTTACCAACTTCTAATGCAATGAGGGCCAGAAGTAACTATGAATTTGCTGTGAAAGGCATTCATAAAGTTCCCCTAGATCTAGCCAGTTTTACTTGATAAAGGAGCCCTTTCCTGTTAAGATCTGAATTGAGAGCAAGCATGGACATTCACACAAAAAGAAGTTACAGGTTTTAATAAAAGTATTTAAAACATGTCACAAAGAAGTTAGGTTTTGCTTCAGTAGAAAATGTAGACAAAGTAAGCCTGATCAGATGAGCTTGGAGCTTGGAGTATTTGACCCAGAGCTGCCCACCAAGAAGGGTCTGATACCCTCCTAGGCAAGGAGCACCCACCTTGCTCTAAAGCTTACTCCATGGGCTTCTGGAAATAAAGGCTCAATTTCAGTAAAAAAAAAAAAAATAAAAGTATTTGACAAGCCAGTTTCCACCCTAGGTTCTATAATTTGGTATATAACACTTAACTTTTTAGATGACTCATTCGAGAATGTAGAGTGGTTCATATCTTGAAACTAATTTTTTAAGCACCTCAAGTAGTAGTGAGTCTTTTAAATACACAAATTTTATAAGCTTTCAGTTTCATCAGATGACCTCTTTAAATAGAAATTTCTCTCTGGACTGTTTTTAATTTAATGCCACACTCAAAGGAGCTTAATCTAGTTTTTGGACATTAAATTATAAAAATCATGTAAGAATTGAAAAAATCACATAGAGAAAAAATGGTCATTTAAATGCACATTTATTAAGGGACATTTTGTTTTCATTTTTAAAAAGACATTCTAAAGTTGCTGAAAATATTACCATATCGGAGTTAATTGCTCATTTATACTTTTACAGAGCTCGATGTGAAAGTGGAAAGTGTTTGCTAGTACAAATTTTAGTGTGACTTAATAATCATGCTTATGATTCACAATTATGTAATTCAAATTGAACTTGTATGTGCACCTCTTTGGAGCAGTTGTCTCAGTGAAAAAACTTGAGATGATGTACTTAGGAGATGTTTTAATTTGAATTTCAATGTAGAATAAAGTTTTCTCCACTTGCATGGTTAGTTTACAGTGGCAATATGTGAGAAATTGTTCATTGGCTATTAGCCAGTCAGATTTTTAAGATACCACTGGTGCAAAGAGAAAGGATGAAGATCCTTCAAGCCTAACATGGATTCATACATCATTGCCAGACTGGCAGACTGTAATCTTATTACCGGATAAACATTTCAGTGCCTGGACAGAGAGCAGACCTGGTGTGCTCTCTTTGCTCTCTCTGTCAGTGGAAGGACAGATTCAAATAACCCAGGTCCAGATGAGCAGAATTTTAGCAGCAATGATTTAGTCAAATCTGAGCTCTTAGGGGGAAAAAGTATTATATTAATCTAAGGTAACAGTAACATTTTTGAAAATACATAAATAGATATAGGGATTACTACAAACTGCTTTTAAAAACCAACAACAAAGTTATTTGAGTTTTTTAATACAATATTCAATGTAAAAGCAATGTCGGGATTATTAAACAAAGTCAAGCCTGGATCAAGGCAAAACAGGCATTCATTTCAGGACACTGGTCAGTATTGTACTGAAAAAGGCCACATACTTTTTACATGATGAAAGAATACATGTACTTATCAACAAGAGAAAAAGAAGATCCTCCATTCGTTAACATTCCTAGCACACAAAACTAAATTGAACCAAGAAAACCCATTACTGGTAGAGAGTCATTGTAAATACTATGCTATTCTGAATAGGAAAAGCATTTTACCTTTACACTTTAGCCTTTACTGAAGTACAAAAAGAACACTGGCTACGCCGAATAATGAGCTTGCTTTTGAAGTATTTGTTTTGTCTTTCTGGAATGCTCTTCACCTCTCTCTCTGCTTTCCTGACTCATAGTATCCTTTACGTCTCAGCTTAAATAACACTTCCTTGTGTACCTTGCCTGAGACCCCAGTTGAAATAAGGTCCTTTTGGTATTATATTGTTATATCATTTTTTATATTTAATTACCTTGCTTTTTTTTGTGAGTATCTTTAATGTGTAAGTCCCACATCACACTGTAAGCTCCAGAGAGCAGCAGCCATATCTGTTTTGGTCACTGCTGTATAACCCCAGTGCCCCTCATAACAGTCTGGCAAATAATAGGTACTCAGTAAATATTTGTTGAATGAAATGCTGCCATTAGAGCTTCTTCTAATTAGAGGCTTTGCTGAGATAGAGGTAATGTAGGGGGAGACAGGGGAGATAGGGGGAGATGAGGAAGAGGGAGAGAAAGGTAGATCAACTTGTGATGTTACCAGGAGGTAACTCTCAGTTAAGTACCCTAACCTCCAGGCCTTGTTTTACCTTGTCTATAATAACAGGGCAGGTTGGGCCCAAGATATCCTATCTTTTGATTCCATTCAACAGTGATGACAGATTATATGACCTCATTTGAATGGGATAAGTGACAGATAACTCCCCAAAAGAATATTCGAGGTGTTCCAAATAAAAGTATTAGAAATGCTTGCCAACTCATAGTTGTTAGAAACAAATATATCTAATTGATGTACAGTTTATAAATTAGTAAGATATTCTGTTGTCTCACTTTTCTAATTGAAGCATAAAGCCAAAATAGAGCTTTTAGATTTTTTGATATTTAGTTTTAATGTTTTGCACCCTACATCTTGTTGCATCTTATAGAACAAATCAGAGTTCTGTGAAACAAAACAAGGGGAGGAAAAACAGATGGGGTGAGTGGGCAGAAGCTAATATGACAGCTCACTTAATTTATTGGTGTTAATGCTGAAACTTAAAAATAATTTTTGTTCAAAAGTATAACATTTATATAGTTTATTAATAGTTGTCAGTACTGATAAATTAGTCAATCGTATTACTAAACAGTTACTGTTATTTGGTTAATCTTAACAGGTATAATAAAATGGAAATTTAGTGGAAAGACATCTATCAAAAATAGATTATTTTTATTATTGAACATAGCAGTACCTTGCATTTTGTAGTATTTGAGCTGCACATCCATAGATAATTTTACTATTTTTGATAGTTGCTTAGCTTTTTGAAAGTACTGTAGTCAGGTATGTTAAGGAGCTCATTACTTCACGAGAAAGCCTATTCTCTTGTTAGGTTGTTGGAGATGGGATGAAATAGTAGAAAGAACATGGTCTTTGGAGTCAGGGAAACTTGTTTGAATCCCAGTTCCATTGCATATTAGTTGAGTAGTCGTGGACAAGCAACAGCTTCTCTGAAACTCTGGTTCCTTTTCTGTGGAATAGAATTAAACAAATCTAGGGTCGTTGCAAATCTAGGGTTGCCGAAGTATATCTCAGTCGATTATTTAGCAGAAAGCAGGAACTTAATTGTTAATTCCTTCATCTAATTACTATGAAAATTGGTAGAACTTACTGAGTACTTATTGTAAGCTGGATACTATGTTGTAGCTCAGTCCTCATCACAACCTATGAGGTAAGAGGTAAGTAATATTGTTATCTTCATTTTACTTCTACCCTCTGCAGTGATGCTGAATAAAACCAATCATTCTCTTAACACCTTTTCAAATATTTGAAGACCATTATTCTATTTGGTTTTGTTAAGCATATATTTATTGCATGACATTGTTTCCACTGTTATCTGGATGTATACTCTTATTTTAAAAAATCAATATAGCTCTTAAAAATGGACAGTAGAAACGAATACAGTTGTAATGTAGGATGGCTGGCAACAGTATGCAGATTGATTCTGGTGTATTCTCAGTGTCTTGGGGGTTTAGGTTTGCATTAGTTCTTTTTTTTTTTTAATTTATTAATTAATTTTTTATAGCGACATTGGTTACTGAAATCCAATAAGTTTCAGCTGTACACTTTAATAGTAAGCATATATATATTTACACTGTGTTCACCTCGCATAGTTAATGTTAATTCTGTCACCACATATTTGACCCCCTTTACCTCATCTACCTCCCCCCTCATCCCACCTCCTACCCTCTGGTAACCAACCACTAGTCTGTAGTCCATGTCCATGAGTCTCTGTTTGTCCTGTTTATTTGTTGCTTTTAGGTTTATAACATTTGTTCTTTTAGTCACCCATGATATTAGCAGCTCCTATTAACTCTTGGGTTTATAACTCCTCTTAGAACAGCTTCTAAGTCAGCATTTCTCCATTTCTATATTGCACGTTTAAGTTTTTGAAACTAAATGCAAAGCTTTACATTCATCCTTATTACATTTTGCTTTAATTTTAGTTTATTTTCCCCAGATTGTACAATCTCAGGATTTTATAAGCATACCTTCCATGTGCGTTTGTTTGTTTGTTTTTCATTATCTAGAGAATACTTTTATTAGTTTCTGTAAGCAAACCCATGTAGATAAGACCTTACATATTTAATACAGGGCGTTACCCCTGTACAAATGGGGGAAAAAATGATGCTTAAGGTTTCTAGACCAATATGGCTATTAATTTCTGTATAATGCCAATCCATCACGGTACAACTGGGATACTTTTTCCAAAGTCGACAGCACAGCTAAAGTTTCCAAAAATTCAAATTGTGTATGTGTATGTAAAGAGCAATAGCAATAAGTTATGCATCAATAGCAATAACAGTTTTTCCAGGCTCTACAGTCATCTGAACCAAATTATAGAGACATCTAGCACACGTTGTTAAAAAACACACAACAAAAAGGAAAACAAAACAAAATCCCAAAAAATAGCAAAGTTCTGTTACTGTTGTGGTACCTGGCACCATTTTTTTAAATTAGCTTTTCAATCATCATCCAGAAGGAAAACATTCTAGAATAATGTCATTAAAAACAGCTCCGATAAAGGACAGTCACTACTACGTATCATAAACCAGGTACAAGATATTTTACATTCACAGAGGTCTAATACAGTACTGTCTGTAATAGTAGAGGATACAGTTCTAGGTACTGATGTCTGTAATAGTAGAGGATACAGTTCTAGGTACTGATGTCTTCCATGTTTTTATCTTATAAGTAAAAAAAGCAATATAGGGCCAAGGACAGACTTTAAGGCACTCTCTAAAGACTTCTTTCATCTAAATTGATATAAAGCAGCAAGCTTACCTAACTCACACTCAAACAATATATTTATAAAAGTAGCATGGAAAACCATCTTAAATATCGTTTTGGCCAAAATACACTTTTGTGTGATCTTGAGTGAGGGTCTTTAATCTCTAAGCCTTTTCTCAACCGTAAAATGGGTGGTTATGAGGATTAAATGAGGTAATACCTATATAGGTAATACCTGTATAGTGCTTAGAATAGTGAGTGTCTGGCAGATAGAGCTCAGTGATTCTGAACTATTATTACTTCTTTCATCTAAGAAGTCTAATAATCATTCTTTTCCAACATGTAAATGCAGTTGACATCTAGTGGTCATTCTTTCCTAGGTATTCAAAATCCATTTGTTTTCATATGTAATCTATTCTCATAGTTGACTAAGTATTAATATTAAGTTTATATGTTTGTAATTTCTGAAACCTACTTCCCCACTCCTCCAGCTCCTAAGACTTAAAGCAACTCTGACCCATCTACAAGTCATGATTAATTCTCTCTCTCTGCTCTTTCTCCAATATTATAGCAGTTAGCTTTGTGATTACACTTGCATGTTGTGTTAGTAATATGCAATGGATTGCATCTGGACCTAAAGACTTGCACTCATGTAAAGTTGTTTTAGTCTTATTCACCAGGCTCAAGTTTCAGTTATCAAAGCTCTTCTACAACTTTAGTTGAAAAACTGAGAGAGGATAAACAAAATACATGTCCCGCAATTCGGCCTTCTCTCTATGCTCCCTCAACCTTAACGACATCCTCTCTGAGCAGTGATTCTCTCAGTTCCTTGTTCTCTTTGAGAAATAGTATGTTGTATGAAACTCAGGTCTTAATGTCACCCTGCCTCTTAATAGCCATGTGATTCTGGCAAGTTGCTTTTTCTGCTTGTGCTTCAGTTTTCTCATCTGAAAAAATGATATTGTTTGCCCTGTCGACTTCCAAAGAGATGTCGTGAAATAAAGTATTTGAAACGATTATAAGGTTTAAGTGCTGTACAATATAAGGTGGGATAATAATCATTTATTTGAATGTAGCAATAAAAGCTTTTGTTAACTTTAAGTAATTTTCTCCCTAAACCTTAGTTTGTCCTGAGCTTTCTCATTCCTAGTACTATATCTATATGTTTTTGCTCTTCTGTTATGTTCATCCTAATTTATTTAGCCCCATTAATTATTCTCTTGAGAGTCTTTGTGCAACCACACTGGATGCTTCACTCTTTTTCATCAGTGGAATTGTTTACAGGTGTTTAAGTGAAATGCCTTTCTTGTGAGGCATTTCACTTAGCCATGATGGCAAGGTGGCGGTCATACTTTTTCCTTCTTTCTTTTTTTTTACATTTTGAATTGTTCTTTTATAAAAGTGTGATACATATGTAACTGTGCCTAGTGTTCTCTTTTTTACTTTCAGAAATCCCTTATAATGAAATAACTTTCTCCTGTGTTCTGTCATAAGTATGTCTTTCATGTTTTTCATTGGCCTGGCCATATAGCTACGTATAGTATATCCCTGCCTGCTTCTTAGCCTTCTGAAAGAAATGTCAAAGAGCCAGTCAGGAATCATATTTTGGCAGAATTAGACTTTTAATATAAAAAAGAATACTCTTAATTTGTCTGTGTTAGGACAGTATTATACATATTTAGTATACTGAGTGATATGTATTTTATTTCTATGACAATGTCAGTTTTACTTTTTTTTTTGATCCCTTCTGTTTTTCTCTGTTTTTGTCATAACTCAGTTGTGTGTTTATAGAATAAAAGTGTTCGATATTCAAGTTTCAGATGGTAGGAGTGCTGGGTTTTTTGTTTCTTTTTCTTTTTGAGCAAGAGGCTCTCCCTGGAATTATACACACAGTAAAAAAAAATGGTAACTGAACCAAAAAAACATGGATACCCATTCAGATTTATTGGTGAATTATAAACATACAACCAAAAAGTGTCATTTAAAAAATTATAAGGATTCTTGTATTTTAAAAATAATGTCAAGTGAATATAAAGTAATAAAAGTTCTTTAAAAATTTCTTTCAGGCTAACTGCATCTCAGAAAGAATCAACTTTTCTCAATGGACCCATTCATCAAATGAAATATGCCTGTACTATTTTTTAAAGTTTTATACTTCATAGTGGAAAAAATTTACTCCTTAAAATGAAAATGAGGACATTTGGAAAGGTGTTTTAAGGTGTGGACATTTGAGAAAGTGTCCTGTCAGTGAACCAAAGGAGAAGCACTGAATTGATTAATCCTAAATTTTTTTTTTTAAACCAGGAGGATTTCATCTTGACAGAAAAAGAGCCTTTAATTCAGTATGTATTTTCTGAAATTAAAAGAGAGAGACAAGAATAGACTTAAAAGAAAATAGATGAAAATGTTTAGTAAGTAAGCAATATCGATTACTTTCTGATGAGAAAATTCAGTGATGTTAAATGCCTTCCAAACCCCCACTTGAGGTCCTAAAGCCAAGACTCTTTTTTGATGGGACTGATTTTAAAGGAAGTAGGGCCTTTTGTGCATTCAACTGACAGTTGTAGAATTTGCAATCATCGGCATGAGTAGCTTAAAAGAGGAAATAAAGAAGCTTTCAATTAAATTCAAAAGTATAGTCATTTTTTTACTAGTGTAATTTGAAAAGCCTCTTCATAACCCTTGAAAAAGAATTGACAACTATTTTAAAAGATTAAAGAAAGGCAGATGTCTGCAAACAATTCCCCTCCATCAGCCCAAAAGTCTGTATTACCTGCAATTCTTCCTGCTGTGCTTCCAACTCCTTCTCCATGTTCAAGTCCGAAGACAGGACTTTCTGCCCGACTCTCTAATGGAAGCTTCAGTGCACCATCACTCACCAACTCCAGAGGATCAGTACATACAATTTCATTTCTACTGCAAATTGGCCTTACACGGGAGAGTGTTACCATTGAAGCCCAGGAACTGTCTTTATCTGCTGTCAAGGATCTTGTGTGCTCCATTGTTTATCAAAAGGTACTGTGCAAGCTATTTATGTCAGTAGTTTTTCTAATTAATGTTGTTTCTAATGCTTTTCCTTGAATGGTACACACAACAATGAGTTAACACATATGGATCAATCATTTATATCCTAATTCTGAGCATTTTTAGAAAAGTCCTGATAGCTTATGAACCTAAAGTCTGAAATTTCAGAGTCTAACAACTGGAGCCTATATCCCAACTTTAAAATACTGCTTGTTCAATTGTCTTTTTAAGAGCAAGAAAATCAGTGTAAGTCAAGAGAATTTAAGAAATCTCATTTGATTTCAGAGAAAACAGGAGAGTACAAGGCATTAAAGTGGCTTAACAGAAGGCCAAGGACATAGCAACAGCCGTCCCAGGTTCATACCTTGGTCTTCTAGGTGCCCTGTGTCCTGCCCTCTTTTTTATTCTCTTTTTCTTCCCTTCAGATCCTGGTTTCACCTAAATTGCCATTTAACATGAGAGGACCACATTCTCTCTGTCTCTTAAAAGACAAGTAGATGAGTTTTGAATATGTGATAGAACAGATGAAAATTTGAAAATTGAGGATGGTTTTGTTTTCCATCCACTCACCCCCTGTCCTATACCATACGATGTTTTAAGGAACCTTAGCTAAGTATCTTTAATAATCTTGATTTGATGGATGAGCTGTTATATTCTCTTTTATCATAAAACTATGTATATGGGTAGTGCGAATTGGTTAAATTTTATTTATAATGGACTAAGGATTTGTTTCAGATTGTTTTCAAACAAATTAGTGTACTTTATGTTTTAAAAGTCATATTAGTGAGGTAATATATTTGGATTTAGACTCTTCATCGTACCGTTTTTGTTTCAGTTCCTTACGCCTTATAGTTTGTCATTATCATCTGATACAGAAGTAATCAACAGTCCAAAAAATGCTCTGTGGTTTGAGAAAATGACCTATGCCTCCTGTGTTTTAACAGTGATTTTTCTATTTAAATATAGCCTAAAGTAAGATTAACTTTATTTTTTTTATATCTGGAGAACTGCAACTGTCTTTGAATATCTGCTTTTAATTTCTCTTTCATTAACTGTTACAGAGATTTTTCACAAATGTTTTTTCAACTAGGTTGTACCTAAAGGTAAGATTTTAACTTAAATATAGTTTGTAACTTTAGTGTTTCTTTTCTACTTGAGTCCAAAGAAACATAACCAATATTGTGGTAGAGTTTTCAACCTTGGAAAATTTCATCTAGTTCTTTATTTATACAGAGCATACTGATTTTCCACAGGATTATTTTAGCATTAATGTTACTTCATTAATATGGATGTGAGAAGTAGGTCAGATGGGTTAAACTCTTGGGAAACTGGATTAAAAATCATAATCCATGAAAAATTAGAGTGATACCATGGAAATAAACAGATATAGCTCAGAAAAAGATAATTCAGGGTAAACTTTATACACATAGAAAATAGATTGATTAGTTATGGATATAGCCAGCATCAAATGAATATTATAGAGAATTGAATTGAAATCAATGTTAGAGTGATATGGGGATATATTTGGCAAAAACATGTAGCATATATATGACAAGAACGTATTCCACATTCCTTTTGACGTGCTAGAATGCTATTGTTTAAGTGTAATGCAAAAGAGTATTGAGCTTGGAATTAGATCAGCTCTAGTATCGATTTACTGTATAACTTTGGACAAGTGATTTCACTTCCCTGGATCACAGTTTCCAGATCTGTCAAATTGATAATGGGTTGAGATGCTTTGAGTGTGCAATTTCAGCTGTGAAATTCTGAATCATTTAATCTAAATTTGAGTCTTCACTGCTAGAAACAGATACTAAGGAGAAAGGAGTTTCAAGGATGACCTGCTTCAAGTATTAACTGAAAAGAAATCTTAAGGGAACCAGCTCAGATTCTGGGGTTTTGTAGAGAGGTTTCATAGATCCCTAACTCGTCTGGATGATGGAAAAACCATGTCAGAAATTCTTTTTACCTACATGTGTACAACTCCAGATTAACTACCAGGACTCTCATGGGCATACCTGCTTTTCTTATTTCTATTTTCAGTCATTAAATACATTTATCTGAACCTTTTAAAGATAGGGTACCAGTTAAGTTTTAGGTAATAGAAAGATTAACCAGATATTATCCCTTCCCTCAAAAAGCTTACAGTCTGGTGAAGGAAACATGTTCACCAGTGTAAAACATGAAAACTAGAAAGTGAAATTAAAATGAAAATTGCTTTTCTCAGGTTAATAAAGGATGTGGAAAGCTTCATACAGAAAGTAACATTCAATCTGATACTTAAAGAATGAGAATAATTTCAATAATTTGGAAGGTGAAGAATACTTCCTGGCGAAAGTTTCAGGAGAAGCAAAAATATGGTAGAGGGAAAGGGGAAGATTATGATGGGTACCATTGAATCCTCACGCAATTCGTGGTGCATCCCAAACTTTAATGCATGTGCATCATTTTGTGATTCTACTAAAATGTAGATTTTTGAATTGGTCCGGGGTGGGTGTACATTTCTATCATGCTCTCAGGTGATGTTGATGCTCCTTTAAGGGAAGGACTACACTGAGTTGAAAGTGTGTAGATAATATAATCCCTGTTAAATAAACAAGGAGGAAACTGAATTCCAGAGACATTTAAATTACTTGCTGAAAGTCCGAATTCAAACAGAGGTCTGTTTTAAGTCAAAAA